ATTATTATTATCAGTTACTTTTTGGAGAAAGCCATTAAGCATTCCCATCCAATAATATAGATTGCCTTTTCATTTGTTCAGGTTTTATGGCCTTAACTGAGATTATAGAAAGGATTATAAAAGGATAAGTCCCAGACAGACAACATTTGCGAAGGTAGAGGGGAGGCAAAATAATTTTTTCTGGATGTATATTTGTATTGTTTCCACTGTCTTGACAAATATGTAGTATGTTTGTTAATTTGAAAAACATCAAATTAAAGAAACTCAACAGGTCAAAGATCCATGGTCTTTCCAGATTTAAACTCACGTTCGCTCATCATTTCTCTGAAGTGCTCAAACATCCCTTTACTCAGACCCTGAGCTAAGCACTTCTATATTATCTCAGTCATTTTTCTTCACCCACTATTAAGTGGGCACTATTATATCCCATTTCACAGATGAAGAAAGTTATGCTGAAAGCTGAAGGCACTTCCCAAGTTCACTGTTAAAACTGGGATCTGACCCAGAAACCATGCTCTTACAATTACCCCAAAAAAGCTTCTAAAGTCTTGCCTGGATCTGACTGCAAGTTTACCGAAGATCAAGGAATGTAATTTAACCCAACAAAAGGAACTAAGTGACCTACCTAAAATGTCTACCTATTAAGGGCTTTTCTTGGCAACAACCAATGTTCAGTTTATTGCATTTGTTTTGAAAAATCATCCTTTTCTCCAGAGAAGGCAAGAACAAAATAAGAATTTAAGTATTTCACTTTCCCTTTGCCTATAATGTTCATATTAGGCACACAGAAGATACTTGTTGAGTGAATAAATCTGGTGTTACCCCATCTAGCCTAAGCAGGAGATTTACGTGCTTTTCATATCCTACATATAAAACTCTCTTGCTCTTCCTGCTCCATATAACTTTAAAAACCTTTCTTTTTTTCTTTTTGGCCTCATTTTTAGTTTTGGCCTTCAATGTGTTAGCTTTCCTGACACTGATCTTAAAAGCCCGTGCCCCCGCTCACATTATGGCTATGTGTGCTTCTTTTCTACAGGCATTCTTTGAATCTGAGTTTAGAGACCATTCAGTACAATCACACCAGTTTCTTCTTGTACCTCTTCCCACCCCACCACCCCAACCCATTAGTATCCTTTCTCCAAACTGCCTTTTAGCTTTCCAGGGTCTCTCAAACCTGCTTCCTCCCACTCTCATGACATGCAATAGTGTCTATTCTCTGAATTCTTTAACATTTACCTCCTTAAAGACTTAATTATCACGAGCTCTAAGATTTCACAGATCCCGCCTCCCAAATGATCCTATTATTTCCCACTTGCCAGCCAATCCCCCCCATCATAACTGTTAGGTCCAGAGGAGCAGTTCCCCTTTTGCTTCCTCTATTAATAGGTGACAACACTGCCAGCATTTTTTTTTTTTTTAGAGAAACACAACTTGCAGGTGTCTCAATAACTCACCCCACCCAAACCCCACCCCATTATTACCGTAATTACATTCTCCTGGCTCCAGTCTTGCCTCCCTCAGTCAATCCTTCAGAAAGCTGTCAATTTTCTACGTCTCAAATCTCATCATTTTAGTCATCTGCTTAAAAACCTTCCTTACTAAACTATATACTAAATTCCTAAGTATAATTCTAAAATGCAATTTCAATTCCACCCCAACCAGTACCTTCAATTTTATCATTGACTAATTCCCCATCAGCACCTAGTACAGAACCTTGCACGACCCATCCTAAGCACCAGCTGTAGACTAATGACCATTCCTGAACACGCCACAGAACTTCTGCTCATGTTGTTCTCTCCACTGGAAACTACCTTCTCCAACTTGTCCCTCTGGAAAAATCCTACTTTAATGTCTCAGTTAAATGGTACTTCCTCTGCAGTCATCCCCAAATTCTACTGCCAGTCCCAGCACCATCAATGCAGAACTGATTGCTCTTCCAATTATTTGGATTTCAAATATCTGGATTCCCATAATATATTCTTTTATTATAATTCTGCATTATACACCAAACCAAAAAACCAAATCCACTGCCATCGAGTCGATTCTGACTCATAGTGACCCTACAGGACAGAGTAGAACTACCCCATGGGGTTTCCAAGGAGCACCTGGTGGATTTGAACTGCCAACCTTTTTAGCAGCCAAGCTCTTAACCACTACAGCACCAGGGTTTCTGCATTATATACCAGTTACTTATGTTTGTCTCTCCTGCTAGTACTATGCATTTATCCAGGGCAAAGACTGTGTCTTATTTCAATGTTTTCCAAACTGTAAGACTCAATGTACCATAAATAAATAATCATTTTAGTGAGCTGCAAAGTTTTTGAATAGAACAGAAAATATAAGAGGACAGTGAGTATAAGGGCAAGTATAATTTCAAGAAACTTAGTTCTATGTGTATATATGCATAATGAGTTGTGATACAAAATAGATTTCTTACTGTGAGTTGTGGTAAAATACGTTTAAATAAAAATCTGTCTCATTGAACTTTGTATCCCCAGTGCATACTGCCTGATATACAGCAAGGGCTCAAACAGTGGTTACAGAAGTGAAATTAGTACCATATCTATGGACCACTTGAGTGGCCTACATTACATTAATTTCCTTTATCTGGCCAGATGTCTTTTAATATGTTCCCACAATCACATCACTTCTGTGTTCCTTTTTATCTGCAATCATTAACTTTCTCACTTTAAAACTCAGAATCATTTCACAAAGATTTATATCTTTTAAACCTAGGCTTCTTTTAAACTGTCTAACCTTCCATTGCTAAGTACACCTTCCTAAGCTTCACCCTCATGAATCTTCTGTATCATTCAAGAATAAGCCTTTCCCATGATCTTGCTAGCTCTTTCAAGGTACTAGCCTATCATTACCTTTCCTTCAACCTTAACTTTTCAAAAATAAGTCATCCCTTTGCCTCCATTTCATCTCCCACATCTTCCTAAACCCACTGCAATCTGGCTTCTGTTCAAGTTGCTGAGGGTCCCCAAGCTGCGTAAGGACTAAATAGAACAGCCCTTTTCCAGCTCTCAGCCTCAATTGCTCTATAATTGGTTTCTATCACTTCCACACTAACCTGGATTCTCCTCTACCTCTACATGGATAAACATAGGAAAGGCACTTGAAAAGATGCCTAGCTCATATTAAGTATATAGCTATATAACTGTTAGATCATTTATTATTATTACAACTATTACATCTGACCATTTACTCCTCCTCTTACTCCCCACATATAGTTAATTATCAAAGAGTCTGTCCTTGGCACTTTTCCCTTCGGCCCCTCCCACCCTCTCCCTTGGCTGTCATCTACTCACATGGCTTCAATTATCCCACCTGTAAAATGATTACAAATCTCTCTCATAAATCCAAATCTGTCTCCCGAACCCCAGATCCACAATTCTAAGTGTTGGACACTCAATATCCAAAGCTGTCTTTTCTACAGTCTTTAAATATCAATAACACCGTTATTAACTTCCACCATTTTTCACTGCACTTTCTTCCTCACCATCCCCACTCCCACCACCGCCATAGTCAATAATTCTCAAATTTCGTCAATGTCTTTTCTTTCCACTTCCTAGCTCAGCCATTTCTTTTCATCTATACTAGTCCTTCAAACTGGTCTCGCCCCCTCCAAGACTCAACTACACACTGCTGTCGGGTAAGTCTTACAGCTGTGATTGAGTCACTACCAGGTCAAAACCCTTCTCAACAAATACGCCTTACTTTCCTTAAAAAGCACAAACTTCTCAGCTGAGTATTCTAGTGTTTCCACAAAACAGATGGTACCAACCCCATCTCCTGGCCTGCCCGTTATTCACAGTACCCACAACTTGTCCAATCGGGAAAATCCATTAGGTGTCCAGACATTTTCTCACTGGGGTCTTAGCTCAAGCATATTCCTAGTGAGCAATCCTTCCCATATCTTGAAAGTCAGCCTGTCAATATTTTACCACCCTTAAATGTCCACTTAGAATGCCAACTCAACAGTGTTTTTTTCTAATTGCCTTTCTTCCTCTGCCCCGAAGATATTCACGCCCTCTTCTAAATATTCTTAGCCCTTGGTAATACCTCTTACAGGCCTTGGTATGTTCTGTGGTATATTACAGCTATCTACATAATCATCTTAATCTTCCTGCTTAACAAAAAGGTCCTTAAAGGCAGAGACCATTTCTTAAATATCTTTGTAGCCCTTCGGACAGTCAGTACATCATCTGTATCTTTTTTTTTCTTAAAAGAGAAACTTGACCATTAAAGACAGGAAGTCCTTTAGAGGTTCTTGGAAACTTTCTCAGACATCCCTAGGCCACCATGCTAAACATCACTTAATGAAAGCTCAGAAGGATCTACAGTTTTTAAACTGGTTCGGTAAGAGGCAAGGGTGAAATAACAACCAGAAAGCAACTAACTCCCTCAACAGCTCACACCTCAATGTTTTACACACTGTCCCTGGTAGTTAAGGACCTTAAATAGTAAGCTAAGATAATTGGATTCCAGTGCCAAGTATGCCATTAACTTGCTCGTACCTTCAAGTCCCTACCCTCTGAGCTTTTCTCATCGGTTCAATGAGACACTACTACTAGAAGATTTCTAAGTTCCCTTATTTAGATATTCACGTTTCTCCAAAAAGATTTAGCCTGTCCAGGCACCCAACCCCCTGGCAAGTCTGCAAAGCTTCAGCCTAAGTCTCACTTCTCCAACAACTCCGGTTCTGTCTGCTCTGGGCTACTTCAGCACTTGCGATACTTGCAAGCACAACTTAGTCACACACGGTCTATCCCTATCGCTCCACAATTAATCCGAAAGTGGCCTCAGGAAAGGCAATGCACTCTGCTCGGGCAGGAGATGGGCCTCCTTCTGGTGCTGCTGCTCGCTTTCGGGGGCGCCCAATGAACCATCGCAGAACTGTGTCCCGAAGGTTACAGCCAGAGCCTACTCCCATCCGGTTTCCTTCCTTTCCAGGACCAAAGGGTTCTCTAAGACGCAACCATAGCCTTCCTCACCCAGCAACTCGAGGTTCATCCCTGTGGACTCTGGCCGCCTGGTCTCAGCTCCGGCAGCAACACTTTCTTCCCCTCCGGCTTCCAAGGCCCGCGTCTAAGCAGAGGGTACTGTGCCTGGCGCAAGCTCCAGAGACTTTCTGGCTTAGAAGGCCCGCGGCTTCCGCTTTCTTTTCCCCGCCTTCCTTAGTCTTTACGAGTGGGCTGTCCACAAATATGCCTAACCAAAAAAAAGGAATAACCTAAAGTTATTTGATTATGAGCCGCTTTAAGAAATAAAAATGGCATCATTACTTGGTGCTTTAAGAAGTGCAAGGATTTAAAACTGCTTTCCTCGGGACCATGGAAATGAGCTAGAAATTTCAGGCATATAGTTAGTCTACTATCCCTTACTATGTTATGTGTTCAGCCGCATTGGCCCGGCGGGCTGCATCAGATTCAGCAGAAAAGGTTCCGGGCAAGTCCGGCTAACGTAGGAAAGCGGGAAAGGTCAGCTCCCAGTGCTTGGCTGTGTAGCGTTGTTGATGACGTCTGGGCGCGTACTTACTTGGTATATTGACTGATTCTCGTATATCTGTTTCATCCTCGTGAAATTTTTTCACATTTGTAAGTATATTGATCCCTAAGAAACGCATCTTGTACGCTACGCAGGGCTTTTATCTCCAATTCCAAGACTGTACCGTGGACCCAGCGTTGACAGACCGTGAAAATGAAATGGATTGAGAGATTGGCTGAGTCCCGGGATCTCAGGCAGACAGGACTGTGATAAGATACACAAAGCAATCAGAGGCCAGTTGACGGTAACGGACGAAGGGGGCAAGTTTTATATAAACAAGTTCCAGAAGGTACATTACAGACTGGATTCTGTGGACTAAAGCAAAAAGAAACGAACGGTGGAGGCTCGCTGCAGTTAAGAGGACGCGAGCTAGATCCTCACGTGGGTTTAGTGCCAATAATCCCAGCTCCATCCGTTACTAACTCCAGCTCTTGGGCAATATTTCATCCTCTCCCTCAGTTTTCTTATATGTAAAGTGAGGATGATAATAATGGTGGTATTTATAAGGTTTGTTGTGAGGATGAAATGAGTTAACACATATAAAGCACTTAGAACAGTTAAGTGCCCAGTAAATATTAGCTATTATTATTTACAAATCACTTTCCTCTAAATTATCTCATTGGATTATCTCACAACACTTCCTTGAGGCCATTAGGGCAGGTATTAGCCCTATTTGAGCAAACGCAATAATTGAGACTCAGAGGCATTAGACACGTTGCCCTTCTTCACTTATCCGAAACATTGCCAAAATGCCATCTAGAATATTATACTACCAACAATGGTATAGTATATTTCTGCACATTCACGCTGTCATTCATAGTTATCAATTCTTTGCCAGAGGTGAAAAATATATATCATTGTTACATTTATCTTAATGAGAGTGAACAACTTTTCACATGTATAAGTGTGTATTTTTCTCTTTTGTGAGGTGGCCTGTTCATGTTCTCTGCCTATTTTTTCGGTTGAGTTATTCATCTTGTATTTTTAAGCAAGGAATAGTATGATCAGGTTGGTGTTTAAGAAAGAAAACTATTAAGGACAATGCAGAGTAGTGATTGATTGTTGTTAGTTGGCTTCTGCACATGGCAACTGCGTGTATGACAGAATGAAACGTTGCCTGTTCTGCGCCATCTTGTTGATTGTTGGTGAGCTTGAGTCCATTCTCATAGCTGCTGTGTATTTTGAGTACCTTCCAACCTAGGAGGCTTTTCTACCAGCAGTATATCGAACAATGGTCTGTTGTGATCCACAGGGTTTTCAATGGTTAATTTTCGGAAGTAGATTGCCAGGCCTTCCTTCCTAGTCTGTCTTAAGTCCGGAAGCTCCACTGAAACCCATCCACCATGGGTGACCCTGCTGGTTTTGAAATACCGGCAGCATAGCTTCCAGCATCACAGCAAGACACAAGCCACCACAGTACAACAAACCGACAGACAGGTGGTGGAGGCATTAATAGAGGGTGCAAGGCAGTCAGGAGGTTACTGCAGTAATCCTGTGGAGAGATGAGGAACATCAGTAGAAGTAAAAGAGAGAAGGCAATACATTCAAGAGAAATGTAGGAGACAGAATTGACAGTATGGGAAAGATCATTTGTATTTGTAAAGTAATAGAGAGCCAGGGGTCTGGCATGACTCCCATATTTCTAGTTTGGGTAGTCCCGTTAACCTGCGCAAAGAATGCAGGGAAAGGAACAGCTTTGGCAAGGAAGATGAGTTCAGTTTGGAACATGTTAAGTTTAAGGAGCCTGTAAGAAATCCAAGTGACCACACAGGCTTAGAGTTCAAGGAAGAGGTCTAGGCTAAAAATCTACTGTATCCCATCCATTCTAATATGCACATTTTTTCACATTTTTAAATCTCTGAAATAGAAATGTATTTTATAACTGAAAATCTCTCATAATTTAGTTAGGAGTATAATTTTCTTTCTTTGTTCTTCATAAGATGACTGTGTGTCTTATAACGCATGGTATCTTTGATTTGATGAAAAACAGCATAGTTGGTGGACTTTGCTTTACAAGTGTTAGTTGGAGCTTATTGATATCACCAACTGACAAAGTAGGGTGCACAGATTTGTGTGTTGAAGGGGAGGAGGGGAATTTTAATAGTCTTCCTGCTTGGCCTGAAGCAACTTGTACCTGTCATTCAGACCTTATGTGAGAAAAGAGATCTTGGTTCTTAGCTAGACTGAACTTCGATCCCATTAAAGACTTCTACAGATTCTCCCTAAATTAGGCCAGCTGCTTCCTACCTCTCCTCTGGGTAAAGGTCAGGAATTCTCTGAGTGGAGCACCTCCCACTCAGCCGGGATACACTGTGGCAGCTGCCTCAAATCACAGGGAATACGGTGAGGGCCAGGAGACTGTCTTGACATTCCAAGGATCTAACCCAATGATTCTCAATTTAGCTGCATGTTGGAATTTCTGGAGAGCTTCAAAAAATAAAGATCTCTATGTCTTACTCCTGGAGATTCTGAATTAATTGCATAATCTGCCTAAGGCACTCCTCAGCATCTGAATATTTAAGCATCCGGGTGATTCTAACGTGCAGCCAGAGTTTAGAACCACCACTCTAGTACAAGGCTAGTGGCACCACCCAAATCAGTGCCCAAGATATGAAGTGAAGACTTTCTGAGAAAATGTGCTCTTCACCACAACCTGTCCTTATTGTTAATGAGATTACTGACTTCTTCTAAGAAAGAAAAAAATCATATGGACAATAACATCAACACAGCGCTGAGTTCCCTGGAGAGAAGGATGGGGGGGTGGGGGAGAAAGAGCCAATTGTTTTAAGGACATTAACCTGAAGATACACCCCCAACAATGTAAAATTTATATACACAAGGTTATTCATTTCAGTATTGTTTGTAATTGAAAAATATTGGAAACAATCTAAATGCTCATACATCTATGGTACATCACACAATGGGGTCCTCTGCAGCTGTAAAAAAAAAAAAAAAAAGATGAGGAAGAACTCTATGAACTGATACAGAACAACTGACATACTACATCATACTGTCAGTGAAAGAAAGTAAAGTGCAAAAGATTATCTATAGAATGCTACCCTAAGAAAGAAAAGAATATAAGAAAGTACACTGTATCTGCTCATTGGTACAAAAGAAATAGAGGAGGGATACACTAGAAACTAAAGAGATTGGTTAAGTATAGGGGATAGTTGGGAAAACGGTAGAAAGAAGGGAGAAATGAGAACCATTTATAAACCAAACTCAACCATTCAAAATCATTTTAAATAACAGTAGCCAACAATTGCTGCTCTTCAAAAACATAGGGAAACGTTGCATAAAGTAAAAAACGGTAAGAGATTACATGAAGACAGCAGGGCAGTTTGAATTTTCTGACTTTCTAGTCCAATGTAATCATTACGATCATCTTTACTAGGCTAGATGTTAATATAGCTGATGAAGTTAAAATTAAAATCCTTTAAAAACGATGGTGTTACAGAAACATCAAGGACAGGGCCTGGCATGTCCAGTCATGCACTGCATAACATCTGTTTGGGCAATAGCCAACCACATATACGTCCGTGGTCTCATACGGTTATAATAGAGTTCAGAAATCCCAATCGGAGAACGGGACATAGTGGCTGTAACCAGACATAGTGAACTGAACAGCTTCCTGCACACAACACGTGTATCTCATGTCTCTTGTGTACAAAGTGATTGCACTGCCAGGCATATAATGGTATAGTACATATATAACCTATAATACATATATAACCTATAATACATATGTCTTGATAGTCATAATAAACGCCTGTGTTACTGGCTTATGTATGTACTATACTGTACTTTCTATTGTTATTTTAATGTGAAATTTCCCTACTTACAAATAACAACTTTATCATATAACACTGTTTAATTTCTTTCAAAAATATTATGGTGAAATGCATCATGGCTCCCAAACACAGCACAACCAGTGCTAGTGATAGCAGCAGCAAGAGGCAAAGGAGAAGTATTGATTTGGAAGTAAACAAAAGGTTATTAAACAACAAGAAGGTGGAAAATCAGTGAATGGTATTGCTTACAATTTAGGTATGTTCATATAACGTCCTGTTTCACAGATGGTATCGTGGATGCGTGACTGTAGTAGTCACTCACTAATATAGGGGAAAAAAGAGGGAGGGAGGGAGGGAAGGGAAGTAGGTCGTAGCTGCAAGCCAAGAACACCAAGCATTGCTGGTGACCACTAGAAACTAGGAGAGAGGCATGGAACATTCCTCTCTCACAGCCCTCAGAAGTAATCAACACAGCCAACATGACGCCTTGATTTGGACTTCTAGTCTCCCGAACTGTGAGACAAATTTCTCTTCTTTAAAGCCACCCACTTTGTAGTATTTTGTTACAGCAGCCCTAGCAGACTAAGACAGGCACCCAAGTCCATGCTTTTTCTGTGCCATCTTGTCACTGCCCTGCAGACTAAGAAGGGCTGCAATTTACTCCACTCTGCCCCAAGCACTGTGCCAATCACTAAATCTCCTTTAGTTCATTCAATCAGCATTTCAGCCCAGTGAGGTGGAAAGATTATCCCAATTCTAGAATACGAATGGTTGGAAATGGAATGCCTACC